ATCTGAGGAAATTGACAGTTGGTTGATGAAACTACTTAATTACTTTATTAAGATACCACTCAAGCTACATAATTAAGCTTATAGCTAGGGGCTACAACGATCTGAATGGTCTTCAGAATAAGCCAGTGTTCATGTTAGGAGATAATTTTGACCTGTGAATGGATTATATATTACTTCTATTTAAGGACAGAAAACCCAACTACAGAAGAAAGGAGTGAATCTACCCTATAATGTTGGAAGGGTGACTAACTAAAATGGAAAATACTTATTTTGTCAGGAAATGTATCCTTAATATTACCTGAAAACTGAATTTCTTGCTTTTTTCTATTTTTATAAAACTATTATCAAAATCAAATAGATGTTTTCCTAGCAATTCTCTGCCTATAAAATAATTCCCAAAAAATCAAAGGTTCAAAAAGTGATTTATGTTCAATGATGTATTAAAACATGGGTTTTTTTTTTAATATTTGAGAAAGGGAAAACAGTTCTTAAGTTTCATAATAATAATGAAAATGATTTATTGAGTATTAATTTTGTGCCAGATCCGGTTTTCAGTCCTCATGTTTCTCACAAGTCCAGAAGGTAGTGTTATTATTATACCTGTTTTTTTCAAAAGATTTTTATTTTTAGTTATTTATGCATATAAGAGTTGGGGTATAGGCCAGAAGTGCAGGGGGTGAAAAGATTCACCAGAGACAGAGTGGGGAGCAGAACAGGCAGATCTACTGAAATACACTGCTGAGGGGAGCAGCAGGCAAGACAGGAGAGGTCTGCTGCGCCATGTGGGTTAGCTCCCTGACTGGGGATCAAACTCTGCAGTGGCTGCTGATAGCTTCATAGTGATGATACTTAACCCCTTGCACCACCAGGGAGGCCCTATTATCAATCCATTCTACAAGTGAGAAAAACAGGGTTCCAAGAGATGAAACAGTTTTCCCACAGCTATACACACATGTAACAAAAAGTGGAGCTGGGGTTTTAACTCTCAATATTTGTTATAACTAATATTATATATAGTCTATTTCTACATAATGGAATGATTAAATACATTTGGAAAATCCCCACAACAGAACAGGATATTTTCCAACCTTTAAACATCATGCTTTTGAAAAATACCAATGCAAGATTAAAAACAGTAAATTAAGTGAATAAGCCAGGATAGAAAATTATACCTTCAGCGTGACTTCAATTGTATAGGATTCAAAAGAAATACACCAAAATATTAACATGCTGCTGGGTGGGTAGATTGAAATTTTTTTCTTTTTATCTTTTGGCATTTTCCAGATCCTTCTATGGGCATACTTTACTTCTGTAATTATGAAGGAAATTACTATGTAGAGGGTATTTAGTGAGGAGGAACTTTACATTTTTTCTATTTAAAAAATCGATATGATGAACTTGACAGTTGCTTTGGAATTTGTGGGCAAATTTGCATAAGCAGCCCAAACACTTGAGGGGATGTAAAGAAAAATCTGACTCTTTTTGTCAGTGATTCATAATTCCTGAAACCTGTCAGGGAAAATTATGTAGCAGTGAGGTCTGTGAAAGAATATCACCATGAGAGTAGAAACAAGGTGAGGTTAGTGCGGTGACTTCTGCAATTGTGAATCTTCACATAGGAACAGTATAACCCAGTTAGAATGCATTTCACCATGAGTGGCATGATACCCAACTGAAGGTGACTCGAGTAGTAGGGGTATTTATTATCTGTAAGAAGTCCAGGCAAAGTGTTTCCAGGTTTGGTTCAGCAACCCAATGCATTAATGAACCCAGGTGCTTCCCAACTTTCCCCTTGCCATCATCAGTTTATTCACAATATCTCCCTTCATTGTCGCATGAAGGCTGCAGTAATTTGAGGCATCACATGTAGACATAATCACATTTAACACATACGAAAAAGTTGTTTCTCCCTCATGTATTTCTTCTTACTATGAATATACATACATTCCTCCCCATGGATCAGGAATGTGTACCAACGAGACAGTAGGGGGATGGCCGCTGGGTGGGCAGCAACTGTTGTCTGCACAAGCTCTGCTGGGTGATGTGTGCGTAGAACTTGCCTTGGTCCACAGATGACATAGCTGTGTATTCAAAGAACTGTAACATTGTGAATTGGGACCTCTAGACAGTTTGGACATGGATCACCCTGGATAAAGGTAGCTTTGAGTCTGGAGTGAAGGCTGGAATCAACCTCAGGATGACATAAAGCCTCCCCATCACTCTGTCACATGAAAGAATGCCCAGATTAGATTCAATTGGTTTAATGGAAACATTTAAAAGAAATGTGATCATTCATTATACTGGTAAAGTGAGATGTGATGATTACATTTTTATAAAGTAGAGGGATAAAATTAAGATAATATATTAAGATGACGTGGTAAGATAAAATGTTTTTAAATAAGATAATATGAAGACTAAATATGGTAGGTGTTTGGGGGGGTTTATGTGACTTTGGTTTCTAGCTCTTTGGGATGTGATAGTTACAGAAGGCCAGCAAACCTCTTCTTACATCACTTACATAATTCTGCTGTGGACTTGACCACCGGTTGAAGCTTTCTTCCTCCCAGACCTCAGTGCAAATGTAAAACCTTCCCTTATTCCTGCTCAGGCTGACCAAATCCACGTTTTGTTCTTCCTGTTTTAATGAAGACATCATTTTCCAAGAGAAAATGCATAATTGGGTGAATCATGTGCAATTCACACCCACGTTTGGGGAGTCATTACTGGCGAGTAGTAGGGTAGTGGCCCCATTTGCAAGGGTAGCCTCTAAAAATAAACCTAGAGTAGGTACAAGTTGAGTTACCCCATGATTAGGACAATCTGTTCCCTGGGTGCTTCAATTGTGGTATCCAGCAGCATCCTGACGACTGCTTAGGCTTAAAAACTCTGCTTTGTTTTTTACTTTTATTTGTTCAGTCTCCCCTATCAACCACTTGCAAAAGCAGCCGTTTCTACCAGGTAAAAGCTGATGGTCCTCTGTGCACACTGCAACCCTGAGTCTCGAGCTAGATAATTCATGAATTACAGTTATTCCCAATAGTGATTATCTTCTAAATTCTTAGCCTTGAAGCATACTGAAACATAAACTTCTTAAATAAACATTAAATGAAAGTAATATTTTGTTACACATGTTATGTTAATTTCAAAACTTAGGAAATACAGATAAATATGAAAAAAAGTAAAAGTCAATGAAATGTTATTACCTAAAGATAAATTCTTGAACATATTGTGATAGGCCCTCTGGGTTTTGTGTTCTGTATGTGGATGATGCACACTTTCATCCATTCTTTCCACATTGAGCATATGTTTATCATCAGTGGGCTGTGCCCTAGGAGTAGGTGTAGGCAACACAGGACTGAAAACATCAGTCCCTCTTTCCATGGACTTTGCATTCTAATACCTTTTATAAAAAATGGAATCATTCCACATCTGCAATTTTAAAACCTGCTTTTTATCCATTTACAATATAGACTGTATGTATTTTCATGCTAAGTAATTTTAAATTATTGTTTAATAGCTTGGTTTTTGAATGCTCTATAATTTCTCTAATCTAATTCCATAATTATAAACAGATAGTTTCCATTGGTTTTTTTGTTGTTTGTTTTTGCTGTTACTGTATAGACAACTTTTAGAGCAATTTTGTACATTGGCACATAGCTTGGCAACACTTATTCAATTACATTTACTAGATAAACTTCATACTCCAGTGTTTTGAGTCTAGCTCATATATTCTTTCCAAGTCAATATGTAGATCTATTTTACCATTATATTTTTCTGTATAAATAGTACACTTTTAGAAAGCATTTCCCTATTGATTGTCTTTAGAAACAATGAAGCAACAAGTATTCTTGTGTATGTATCTAGGCACATATATACATATTTATTCTTTTAATTGAACTTTACAATAGAAATACCTGCTTGGTATATCCATGTCAGCTTATTGTGGTCTGGATAAAGATGTGTATGAAATGACAAATGCAAGCTCTGCCCCACCCCCTCTCCCTAGCCCCAGTTAAAGTCTTTGTGGCAATAAACCACAACATTCTCTATTTCTCTTTTCTGCATTTATTTCTCTTTTGAATTCCCTCCACAAATCCTATACCCTCTGTATGACTTTTTTGTCACACAGCATCTATCCTCTCTCTCCTTTGCAACTACACCCTAATTTTTAGGAGCACTCTCTCTTCCCCCATTAAATCTGTCCAGTTATTCTAGTTTCTTTGTTCTCCACACAGGTCAAAATGAATTAAAACATTCCAACTTTTAGTGCCAATGCTACTGGCTGGGAAGCTTACCCCTGGGCTCCTATATCTCCCTACTTTGATCCTTTAGATTTTGCTCAGCTTTGACCTTGTCAGTGACACATTTCCTAATTGACCCTTTCAAAGTGCAGCTCTCAGCCTCCCAGCCCCATCTCCATCTTAGTTCTACTCTCCTCCAGGGCACACTTCATCACCTAACATGAACACCCTACTAAGATATCAGTTCCATGAGGGTAGGACTTTTTGCTTTTTGCTTGTTTCATCTACTGCTATATCCACATTGCCAGAACAGTTACTAATGTATAATGAATATTTGTTCAATTAATATTTAATTAAAAAATGCATTGCAGTGAAGTGCACTGATGAGTTTTGGACTAATTAAATATTAGTTTGAATCTCAGCTTATTGTGGTCACAATAAAGATGGCTCCATTTGCTGAGTAGATACAGATTAGACTTTTAAGGTCACATTAGCCGTATGATCTTGGACTGATTTCTCAATTTGTCAGCACTTCAATTTCTTCATCTCTTAAGCAATGGAATTAGAACAAACCATAGGATGTTAGGATGATTCAGAGAGTGTGTTTAGAATCATACCTGCTGTATAACAAATATCAATAAAGCTTATTTTCTTCTTCTCCTCTCCCTCCTCCTTTGTGCCCCCTTCTGCTCCTTCTTTTATTCTTTTTATTATCACTAGTATGAGGGAAAAACATAATCTTTCTCTTTTTCTTCCTAGGTTTCCGTTTTGTCACTTATACAGAATAACTGCTAATCTCCACCTGCGACAAGCTGGCTCCTGTCACCCTTCAGCATATCCTGGCACCACAGTGCAGGTAACATGCTAATGCAAAAAGTGTTCTGTTGCCTGTTCCCTCAGTGGGATCTGACACCCTTGTTTGAAGACAAGAACACTGTAGCCTCCTTGCAGTCCCTTTGGGACAGCCCCAGGGGCATGGTTTAGTTAGAAACACTCATGTTCACAAAATCTTGGAACCTGGGGGACTCTAATGTTTCCCTGGGTGTTGTGGGGGCTGCACACCTGGTTCATACATTCTAAGTAGTTATCTCATTCCTAGTTCATAGCAGTCAAGAATAAATTAGTGGAGAGAGAGCCCCACTTGTTTCCTTGACATTCAAGTGAAGAGGAAGTGACACATCATGTTTCACAGACTAAGTCTCAGGAATTTCTTCTGGCCAAGACCCTAGCTTTTTCATTATTACATTTTCAGTCACTCAGCAAGCATTAAAAAAATTAATTAACACTGAGGAAAGTTATCCAAAATGTGCTAGGAGGATTCTTTCTATCTAAAGACAATTAGGGCCTCCCCGGTGGCGCAGCAGTTGAGCGCTGGGTTGTGAAGCTGCCCGCGGCCTCTGCGGTGCCGGTTCGATCCCCGGCTGCTCCCCGGCCACCAATGGAGGGTCCCACATGGCGCGCAGACCTCTCCTGCCACCCGCTGCTCCCCTCAGCAGTGTACTTCGGTCCTTCTGCCTGCTCTGCTCCCCGCTCTGGCTCTGGTGAATACTCTCACCCTCCCGCGCTTCTGACTGTACCCAGTGCATGTATAAACAAAAAAACAAAACAAAACAAAACAAACAAATAAATAAATAACATGCCTCTATTAAAATAAATAAATTAATTAAATAAATTAAAAAAATAAAGACAGTTATTACAATTAGTCATAAATTCATGAAAAGTATTTATTGAGAATGATCTTGTGGCAGGCAATCTACAAGAAACACAAATCCAAAATCATAATAATGCAAGGGAATGATGAAATTGACATTACATATAAATTAAAAAAAAGAAACAGAGATTTAGAGAAGTTACCTATCCACATTTACCAACTAGATAGTGACTGAGCCAGGACTCAAAGCCGGAGCTACAGAACTCTAACTCCCCTGAGTTATACAATAGTTTACATTGTTGCTGACTGTTGTAACCTGGGGGTGGGAGAATAGAAAGTCCAGCAATAGTACAAGTCATATGGAAATTATTCAGTTATATCCAAGAAGCTTTTACTGTGAAGGTAAAGTGCTATTAGGTGTTTGAAGGAGATATGACAATTTGAATAAGGTGAAATCTATCTATACCAGCTCTAGAATTTGCTCAAATAAAGTACAAATAAATACTGTAATAGAGGTAGCAACAGAGAATCTTATTTCTGATTAGAGAGGACCACAGAGGGTATTGCAGATGTCATGTATCCCAATCTGGAAGACTGAGCAGGACTTCAGCAAGCAGAGTGGGACTAGGCACAGAAACTGCCATTGACTGAGCATGAGTTTGAAGGACAAGAAGTAGTTTGAAAGGAAAACAGAAAGAGGTCCCCTGACCACAGGATGGGCATCACAGCATGCCCAGGAAAGGTGTCAGTGGGTAACTGAATGAACAGGAATTCTGAGCTGAATAAGATCACAGAAAAGTGTAGCAGGTTGGGTGACAAATGATTATGAATCAGTGTTGAATGTGTTGGGCACAGTGATTGGAGAAATTCATAATAGGAAGGTGACTGTGTGTAACTAGCCACCTGCAATTCTCCAGTCAGAACTATGCAGTGATGGTAAGATCATTAGGACAGTCTCAAAATGTCCCTTTTCAGCCAATATATCATTAGTTCTAAATTGCAAAGCAATCGATCTAGTAGAGGATTACTTTGAAATGATTTCGCTAGAGGAAACATCTGATCTTTGGTGACATTGGCAGCCTTAGGTTAGTGGTATGGCTGTTGGAGAATTCACCCCCAAATGTTGGTGTTTAAAACCTCCCCAATGCAGTATCCAACCCCAGCAGATCAATGAAGACCTTCTTGCAAAATGTGTCAAACTCAAATGCATTTATTTTGAATGTTCCACTAACTAAAATTTCCTGAAATGTTTTTCCCTTTTAAAATTGAGATATAATCGGGGTATAACAATTCTCTCTCATTCAAGTGGTAACCACTTTCTGATTTCTCTCAGCACATTCAGTTGGCATGTTTTGAATTTCAAATGAATAGAAGTATAATGTATGTATTCTTTTGTGTTCCTCTTCTTTTGCTTGACATTTTTTGAGATTCGCTCATGTATTGCATCAGTATCTTAAGGTTTTTGAAAAGCTGTGTTGTATTATATTGCATGAATATGCCACAATTTTTTAAATCCATTCTCCTATCAATAGATATTTGGATCATTTACATAGTTGGGTCATTATAAATAAGGTGGCTATGAAGGTCTTGTGAATTTCCACAAAAAGTTTTGTGACGCTTTGCTTCTCTTTAATGATAGAGCTAGAAGGGTTTATGCTCAGTATGCCAGAAGGAAAAAGAAAAATATTGTATGGTTTCACTTATAGGAGGAATATAGGGGAACCAAATAAGGGATCAGAAAAAAATAACAATAAATAAAAAACCAAAATTAACAGCAACTATAAATCAAAAACATTCTGCAGAGGAGGAGGAGAGGGAGGGATCAAAACATGGGAGGAAAGAACACAAGGGACTATGGTGATGGTGCACAGGGAAGGGTAATTTGGTGGCAGGAATTTTATGGGGACTACACCTGAGGGGAGAAAGCAAACATTGTACAAAAATGAACAAGGATGTAAAATATATATAAATAAATAAACTTAAAAAAGAGTAGAATTGTATTTCCTCTTTGAAAAAGTTTCTTTTTAGCGCTTCTGCCCATTTTTTGACTGGATTATTTTCTCTGTTGTTTGTTTGTTTTGAATCTCATCAGCTCTTTGTAGATTTTTGTGATCAGTCCTTTATCATTAGTGTTGTGTGCAAAAATTTTCTCCCAGTCGGTGGGGTTTCTCTTTGTTTTGGTTATTGTCTCTTTTGCTGTGCAGAAGCTCTTTAATTTGATGTAGTCCCAGCTGTTTATCTTTGCCTTCGCTATCACTGCTTTGGGTGATGTGTCTGTAAAGATGTCTTTGAGGTGCATGTCATGTAATGTTTCACCTGTATTTCTTTCTATATATTTTACAGTTTCAGGTCTTATGTCTAGTTCTTTAATCCATTTTGAGTTGTTTTTTGTGCATGGTGTTAGGTAGTAGTCAAGCTTCATTCTTTTGCTTGTAGCGACCCAGTTTTCCCAGCACCATTTGTTGAACAAACTTTCTTTGCTCCAGTGCATATTCTTTGCTCCTTTGTCAAAGATTAGTTGACCATAAATCTGTGGGTTTATTTCTGGATATTCTATTCAGTTCCATTGGTCCGTGTGTCTGTTCTGGTTCCAATACCATGCAGATGGCCAACAGGCATATGAAGAAATGTTCAACATCACTTGTCATCATGGAAATGCAAATCAAAACTATAATGAGATACCATCTTACACCAGTGAGAATGGCACATATTAAAAAAACTAGCAGCATACAGGCTCTGCTCAACACTAAGGCAACCATTTATTTGTACAGTATTTTCTAGAAAAATCACTGGTCTATACCATAATAATTTTACAAAACAAAAGAGAGAAGCACAAAATAAAAAATTTAAATATCTAAAAAAAAAAAAAAACTAGCAACAACAAATGTTGGCGAGGATGTGGGGAAAAAGGAACTCTCCTGCACTGCTGGTGGGAGTGCAAACTGGTCCAACCACTATGGAAAGCTGTGTGGAGATTTCTTAACCTACTAAAGATAGAACTTCCATATGATCCAGCAGCTCCACTCCTAGGTATTTACCCAAAGGACACAGAGACATTAATTCAAAAGGGCATCTGCACCCCTATGTTTATTGCAGCACTATTTACAATAGCTAAGCTATGGAAACAACCCAAATGCCCAAAAATAGATGAACAGATCAAGAAGATGTGGTACATATACACAATGGAATATTACTCAGCAATCAGAAAAGATAAATGCACACAATTTGCAGCAACATGGATGGAGCTGGAAGGGATCATGGTCAGCAAAATAAGCCAGAAAGAAAAAGAAAATTACCTAATGGTCTCACTCATAGCAGGAATCTAGAAAACCTAAATAAGGGACCAGGAAAAAGACTAATTGCAATAAAGTAAAAATCAAAATCAACAAGTAACTATAGACCAGGGTAAAATTGTTGGGCCATAGATTGTTCTACATTAATTTTATAAAATGAAGCTTAAAATGTTCCTCAAAAGGGTATATCATTTTATACTTTTATTAACAATGTGTGAAGGTCCAAATTGTTCCACAAATGTGCCAATATTTGGTATCATTTATGTTTTTGAATTTTTTCTAACATGAGCATGAAAATGTAAGTCATTATGGAGTGGATGGGCATTTAGGTTGAACACTTTTTATGTGCTTTTGGCCATTCACATAGTTCCTTTTTGAAATATTGGGTTTATTTTTAGGTATTTCTTTTTTTTTTTTTTTGTATTTGCAAACAATAAAATGCACTTTTTTCCATTTAGAATTCAACAACTTTTGAAAAACCTAAAAATCATGTAATCCCTTCTACAAAGAAGACAGTTGCATCACAGCCCTCCACACCTCTGCCACCCCATGGCCTTTCCCACCCACCCACATTTCCCACTGACCTCTGAAACTATCCTCATATTGTCATTTAAATGGAGTCATACAGTATGTAGAGATTTTAGTCTGGTTTTGAGAATTATCCTTTATTATTCCATGTATCAATAAAATTTTTTGATGAGTAGTTTCCAAGGTATGGAATGTACCATTTGTTTATTCCACACATAGATGAGGAACATTTGGATTGTTTCCAATTTGGGGTAATTATGAATAACACTGCTATAAATATTTATATGTAGGCTTTTATAATGAACATAAGTTTCTATTTATCTTGAATAGCCTAGAGTAAAATTGTCAGGTCATATGATAAATGTACCTTTAAATTTATAAAAAATTGCCAAACTGCTTTCTAAGTGGCTGTAAAACTTATATTCCTATTAGCAATATAGGAAAATTCCAGTTATTGTACAACCTTGGCATGGCACCTTTTTTTTAACTTTAACCATTTTATTATTATTATTTTTTTAATAGAGGCATGTTTATTTATTTATTTGTTTGTTTGTTTGTTTATACATGCACTGGGTACAGTCAGAAGCGCAGGAGGGTGAGAGAATTCACCAGAGCCAGAGCGGGGAGCAGAGCAGGCAGAGGGACCGAAGTACACTGCTGAGGGGAGCAGCGGGCGGCAGGAGAGGTCTGCGGCCATGTGGGACCCTCGCCAGGTGGTGGTGGCCTGGGAGCAGCCGGGAATCGAACCGGCACCATGGAGGCTGCGGGCAGCTTCTCAACCCAGCGCTCAACTGCTGCGCCACCGGGGAGGCCCAACTTTAACCATTTTAATAGATTAGTAAGGTATCTCATAGCGATTTTGAATTTGCATTTCCTTAGTGAATAATGTTGACTATCTTCATGTGCTTATTTGAAATCTGCATACTTCTCTTTTGAAATTTCAAACATTTTGTTTATTTTCTTGCTGAGTTTTAAGAACTTGTTATATAATATAGCTATGTCCTTTGTAAAACCTATTAATTGAAAATATTTTCTTCTAGCCTATCACTTGTCTTTTAGTTTTTTTATCAATATTTTTACAGACAGCAATTTTTCATCTTAATTAGATTTAACATCACATCCTATTGATGGATCATGCTTTTCATACTATATCTAAGAACTCCACAATGAGTCCAAGGTCATGAAGATGTTCACCTGGAGATTCTGTTCTTTGTTGCGCTTGTGTTTCCTCTGCTCTGTTCAGACTGAGCCCAGGAAATGATTTCTTTACTTCCAATTCTGTATTTTCATTTCTACCATTTCCATTTTCTTCTTGTTAGTTTCCATCTCTTCTGAAATTTTTTCCAACTGCTTTTACAAGTTACCCACATGTCCTTTATCATATTTTTCAATTTTTTTTAAATGTCTTTGTGACCATACTAATACACAGTCTGTCTCTAAGAAAATGGATTTCAGTTTCATTCAACCAAGGGTCACATTTTTCTTTTTCTCAATATTTTTATTTTCTATACGTAAAAGAACAATGGAAACTGCAAAGGATAAAGTTTATTTTCAGTAATAAGAATACTCCTTCCAGGTCACATATAGGCAGATGGTGATGTGGGGCAGGGTGAAACTATTAACCCTTTAGATGACCTAGTTTGGGTTTTGTTGAAGTTTTAGAGTCAGCACATCACTGACTTAGAATTTTTTGAGGGCTAAATGAAGACACACTTTCAGTAAGGACAAACTGCAAGTTGAGTGCCAGTGAGATTTTAGACAGGCCTGGGAGATCTTTCCCTGGCTGCAATGATGTGGTTACCTACGTTCTACTCTTTGCTCTCCAGTGAAGGCCTGATGTGTTGCTAGCAGGTACGTTCACATCTGCCATACCCCAGGCTTCAGCAGGCAACCTCTCTCATGGTAGGTATCACTCTGCAGGAAAGCAAGCAGCCATGAATAAACATGGATTCTCTCTAGGAAGGTCTTCACTTTTGAAAATTGTGTTCATTTAGGATTTTTTCTCAGGTCTTCAATGCTCTGATTTTTAGAAAAGTTAAACTTTGATTTTGTAGCTTTCCAGTTTTTTTCTCCTTGTTGATGTGGGTATGACAATCTCTTGTGTTTTCCTTCACTGATGCAGAAATTCCTCATACATGCTTTTTAATTAGTAAAATGTACACTCAGGTTATGGTAATAGGTTGGGATTTCAGACTAACGTATATTTGACAGGGGGCTTATGTGTGTGTACATATGTGTTTGGAAGAAGCTGCACCAGTTAACCAAGTATCAGTTTAAACCAAAGATGAGTGTAGTCTTCCAATTGTACTTATTTGGTTTATTCCCTGTTAATTATGTTTCATAAAGCTCTGCTGGTTAATGAATGAAATTACAGCCAAATACTGAATAATTTAATGCCTGCCATTTTAAAATATTTTCTGTTATTTCATGCTCCAGTAAGTACAGTTAAATTGTATTCTTCTGATAAATTGGTGTTTATTATATTAATTTGTCTCTGATCACCTCTTCGCTTCCAAGTCCATGCTCTTTTAGCTACATGTCCTCGTACATGTAGATTGCAATCATGAAAGATAAATTATAAGACCTGAAGGGAATGTAAAAATTATACTGTTTGCAGTATTAGGGTGATTGAATTACAAGTTTCTTTTCATCCTTCAAAGAGTTCTCCCAAGATTTTTAAAGGCAAGAGCAAGGAGTTTACATATTTTTAAACTTAGAAATACAGATAAGTAACACAATGACGTGTACTGCATTTTTGTTAACAAAACCTGAATCACACTGTAAGTGATCTTGTGTTATATATTTATCTTTTCCTTCCCTCAGTTTCCTAACAGTAGCAATGATAAATAAGTTCACTTTTTCCAAAATATTATACTTTATGCAGTATTCAAGAGAAAAGAGGGAAGAGAATTTTCAGCTTTTAGATAAACTTTAAAAATGCATAAAATCTGAGTATTTGTAATTTAAATTATATTCTCTCCTTGAGAGCAATATAATTTTAGCTATGCCTTATTTTAACTTGTATTTGTTTTCAGGATCAGATTCTCAAAGGAGGTTTTTTTTTCCATATTAATGAATGGAAAGAAAATGTTATGGGAAAAAGTCACCATCTGGTTGTTTGCCCTTTATTTGCTCCCTGTCTTTAGTTTCAAATCCTGTGCAAGACAATCAGAACTTTACTTACTCAGTTTTATTAATTTGGAATGTCCATGGCCTTGCTTGGATTGCTCTCCTATTTAATTTCATGGTTAACTTTTTTCAAGAAATGAAATCAAAGCTAAATAAGGACACAGTTGAAATAAAAGTTGGAGAAGAAAAAGGAATTCAGACAATGGGTGTCAATGCATTTAGTAGGTTTCTTCAATCCAAACTGCAAAGAATTTCCACAAAGTCCTTTCAAAAATGCCAGAACAGTAAGGAGAAAAAAAAAAAAAAAACAGCTAGGTGTTTCTCCATTTCTTTTATGTTGGTTTCACACTTAAAATTTTTTTTAAATTTTGTATTGTCATTAAGAAATATAATTTTACTCAGCGAAATAAGCCAGAAAGAAAAAGAAAAATACCGGATGGTCTCACTCATAGTAGGAATCTAGAAAACTTAAATAAGGGACCAGGAAAATGAATAACTATAAGAAAGTGAAAATCAAAATCAACAAACAACTATGAACCAGAGACACTCCATGGGGGGTAGGGGGCAGGAGGGGAGGGATTGGGGTCAAAATAAGGGGGTTGCAATTGAATGGGGAATATAAAAATAAAATTTATTATAAAAAAATTTAAATAAAGTCTTCATTTGCATACCAAAAAAAGAGAACATCCTTAGCACCCAAATAATAAAAAAAAAGAAAAATAATTTTAAAATATAATGCATATCTCAAGTTTGTCATGTTTCCTCACATCAGTCTCATCCCATGCTCATACTCTTACTGGCATTTGTATACAGTAGAAACTTATTCTGAAAGCTCTACTTCCATTCCCCCCGCCACCATACATTTCAATAAAGACTGGATACACATGTGCACAACTGTGGAGCTACATTCATTGGAATCTTTTTCTTGTACACGTTCTTTCTAATGATCAATCCAGTGTTTCTTAGAATTTTATGTGTTTTTAACTCTATCAGAAAAAGTATTTTTACCCCAATATGGCTTCAAAGATGTGTTAGTTTCAGAAGGTATAATTCATACATTTTAGCAATCTCTCTTTAGAAGATTAGGAAATTTAGCCTTTGACATGATAAAATATTTTTTGTGTGATCTCTTTTTAAAATCTAAAGTATAAATTCTTTCTATATATTAATAGGTATATAGATATGGAGATAGAGATGAAGATGGAGATGAAGTAGAGTTGATAGAGAAGTGTGTGTGTGGGTGCATGTGTGTGTGTGTGTGTATATGTACGGTTAATGGATAAATGTGAGAACCAGAAAACCTCTCTATAGCTCCGTTATAGTGGACAGTCAGAGATGAACAACAGGATGGGAACCTAGTTCTTGGACTCATAGTGCTCTAGAGACCTTTGAGTACTCAGTTCAAAGTAGGACTAAGGCCCTTGTGGAGACCCTTGAAACATGGAATGGAGAAATCTAGATGGATATTCCTAAGGATGTTGACCCTGTTTCCTTCACCCCTGCACTCCCTGGGCTTACAAAGGTGACTCACATTTCCCTGGTAAGAATATGCTCTTGTGCTGTGCTGGAAAATGCAGAAATCTCTCTCCAACAAGGCAGTAGTGTTCCCCTTAGAAATAAGCCCTATCTCCTCTTCTGGCTGCCGGGTCAACAACTAGAGTTAAATCCTGCATAAACTTCAAAGAACATACTGAAACTGCTTAGGGAAGAAAGATGCCATCCAACAAAGAATTGAAAGACTTGACCTGTGCCTGGGTTTAGATTTGGAGGATACTTGATCACGGTATACAGAATGTAAAACTGGTCAGGGTACCTACCTATGACATGGTTTTTAATCCTGTATTTTTCTAGTTGAATAAGACCAATCTTTATATGCAATCTTTTTGCAAGTAAGGCATTAGACTGGGGTGGTTCTCATGCCTTGTAAACCTACAGAGGCAAACCAAAACCAAAGTCTGATTCAAACTGATTTTTGCTCAAACTTTAAATATTTTTAATATTTTTCAGCTTATCTTTCAACAGTACAAGAGATTTATCGCAAGGAATTACATCATGTGATGATAGAGGCTGCAAAGTCTCATGACCAAAAATCAGCAAACTGGAGTCCCAGGAGAGCCAATGTTATAATCTCAATCCTAAGAACCAGAACATCCAGTGGTGTAGTAAGTCCTAATGTAAGTAAGTCAGAGGCAGCAGAGACTGATTGATATCCAAGTTTGAAGTGAGGCAGGCAGAGAGAATGAATTTTCAATTACTCAATCTTTTCCTTCTACTCAGGCCTTCAATGAATTGGATAAAGCCCACTCACATTGGGGAACACAATTTATTGGATTTAGTCTACAGATTCAAGGAAAACCCTCACAAACACACCCAGAATAAGGTTTGACGAACTATCTGGGCACCCGGTTGTTCAGTCAAATTTACACATCAACTAATCACCACACCCTAGCAAGGCCCATTGCATAGAACAGATGCACCACCAGGGGGGCTCTTAGAAGCATGGAAAGGCCATCACAGGTGCTGAGCAAAATGGAAAAGCCTGAATTGGCCTCTCGGATGGTGAAAGTAAAGGAAGGAATGCAGCAGTTACAGGAAGAAGGTGATTTCTAAAGGAAGAATCTATCCTTGTATTCCAACACAGGATCATGAGGACAAGAGGCAAAAATTTTGTGAGTGTGTCCTTCCACATGATTTTGAAAAATGTCACCATCATCCCTTAGGTCCTAGTCTTTAGTCTATCGGGGAAAGAACTACAATAGGCTTTGGTTTCAGAGCACGCATGACATCACACCAATACCCCAACTGTGCAACTGAAGTCCCCAGATCCATAGACTATTGCCTTTCTAATAGACCACTGCTTCTGAATGAAAGAAAAATAAGAATATAAACACATCCCATAGCAATCAGCCTGTTGTCTTATTTCTTTAACTGGCACATGGATTCCATGGTCAAAGTTGGAGATGTGTGATACTTTAATGGAGTATAAAGTATTCAGTAATTGTTGACAGCTGCACAACAGAGAAAAGAAGATGGCCAATCAAGTCAAAATTCAGGTCATGTATTTCTATGTAAATAAATTGCTACATTTTCTGTGATGTCTGTGATGGAATGTATTGACCTGCCACTAGGTAGTTGGCAAGGTCTCTCCAGGTAAAGTATAATTTATCTAAAAGCCTATTTTAGATATAGGATGACACCCCAGAAAAAGATCTGGCCTCACGCAGAGCACCACGGATAGCTTCAATTGTTTAGGTACCTACTTACTAAGAATTTGAGGGGAAAGCTCAAAAAGATAACAAAATTAGTCTTTTAGGAAGAGAGAATTTCACTCCCTTTGAAGCTGATTCCAACACAGTTGAGAAATAACTACAGTCTGTAATTATTTATATAAAGAAGTGTGGCATCCATGAAGCTGAGTAAAGCTGAAAGGGTGAGGCAGTTACAATGTGGCCTTATTTCAGGGTTCCTTGCTAAAATAACACCAAAAAGGTGCAGACTTGCCCATCCCATTCTTGAACTAGGTGCTTGAGAAGGAACATGTCTTCTCTAAAACTCAATGAAAAGTAAGCTAACTATAGAAAAATGTATCTGCTTACAGAAAGCTTCTGCTTAGAACACAGCTAAGAGATGATGAGTTTCTGGCCACGGGCCAACATTTTCCTGAGCACCTAACAATGCCTTAGTGGATCAGAGACATAAAAATCCTAATGCAGCTATCAGGACTAGATTTACAAGAATTGCTGAAGGACAGAAGAGCCAGGAATAGAAAACATTTGGAAAGCATCCAGACATCAACAAAGAGGGATAGAAAGCACCCAAAAGACATTGGTCAAGAGGCCCTGGGGAAGGGGCAGTCAGTCAATAACCCCATTCAGACCGAGGCTGTTCATCCAGACACTAGAGTCTAGAGAATCCAAGTCCTCGACTCAAAATCTGAAAATGGTTGGAAATTGCTAAATTTGCGTAAAGGAAATAGCACCCCATACCATCCCTGTGCTGCCCCAGAGACTGGTTCCAGTACAGGGTTCAGAAAGTCTCTCTAGTGGGACCTGGATTCCTTTGACTAAAAAGAAGCTAATATTGGGATCCAGGTCCCCTCTCCTGCCCCAAGGGAATCACTGGTGTTGAAAGAAACAGTAGACATCTCAAACATTATCTGGCTTTCTTAATTCTAGAGCTCAAGAGAGCGTTACTGGGTTTCTGTTTGTTTGTTTTTAGCCTGCATTGAGCCTATTCTTCCTTTGGCTTGTGCACAACCATGGTGCCTGGCCTTGCTTGAACCTCACTGATGACCTTTAATATCATTGTGCTATAATCTGAATGTTTGTGTGCCCACCCCCCAAATTCATATGTTGAAATCCTAGCCCCAAATATGGTGTTAATATGTGAGGCCTTTGGTGGATGCTTCCTTTAGAATTAGTGACTTCACAGACATACCTCAGAGCTCCCCGCCCCCTTCCACCATGTGAGAACAGAATGAGAAGACACAGGCTATGAACCAGGAAGAGGGCCCACACCTAACTATGCCTGGTCTTGGACTTTCAGCCTCTAGAACTGTGACAAATAAATTTCTGTTGTTTATAAGGCACCCAGTCTGTGGTGTTTTGTTTTAGCAGCCCAAATGGATGGAGACACATGCATTCAATCTGAGCTGAATGCCAATGGGAGGTCTATTTGCTGAAGCCTATCTCCAGAGCCAGGAGTAAGAGGGAGCAAGGAAGAGCACTGCAGGCTTCTCTGTCTTTGCTTTTAGCTGCATATACAGGTAAGATGGGGGTGGACAAGTAACTTCTATCTTTTGACTTCAGGATGTTTAATGGGCCCTATTCCCCAGCCCACCTCTTTATGACAAGAATGCAACTCTAGTGCAACAAGCAAGTTGTCCAATAGGCACCATAGGAATTCATCCCAAGTGGCTTGGATATTAAGATGGCAGAGATTTAGGGATCTCCCCATCTGCCAGAGCTTCCCTCCTGTATGACTCACCCCACACCCAGGAAGGGCTGCAACTTTCCGCAGGCCCCGACATCTCTCATGCTGGGCAGCTGTCTTTCCCAGACAACTCCCTAAACCACTATATCTAAAGCCAGAATGCCTGGGAGCTCAACACTCTTGCTTGTTTCTACTAAAAGTCCATCTTTTACCTGACCCATAAAAATTGTAGAAGTAAATGAAAACCACACAACTGAAAACAAGTGAATGTTGTTTACTAGGGTCTTGCTATAGCAATAGAATCAACCACCATTACTTGCATTTGGCAGAGACTCAAAGGCAAGCAAAGAAAATGGAAAAGCTCCATAGTAAAAAAAAAAATAGGTACAACTTTAGGCTGTTGGCATGGGATGGTTGTTGTTGGCATGGGGTAGCTGAAGGCGAGTTAATTGGAAACAGGGCATGTAATATAATTGCTTTGGAGGAACTCGTTTGGCTTACTTTTATCAGTCCTGAGTTGGAAGCGGAGGTGAAAATTAGGGAAGTTCACAGTCATTGATCAGGACCTGACCACTCTGGGCAGCTGGCTGCAGATGCTGTGATATTGTTGTTTGACTTCCTAGATTGACTGCTACAAAGGTTGTGGGTTAGGGTTTTATTGTCTACAGTCTTGTTGTCTATCTTTAATTCAACATCTCAGAATGGAGAGCAATGGTGGGTAGGATAAAATTATTTCCTGTTTACCAATACCTGGCCCTAGCACTCTTGTGAGGGCGTAAGATACAAGGACTGAAGGACCTGTGCCTTCTCTCAAGCTAAATTTTCAGCTAAAGCCTATTCCTTAAGCAGTGGTTCTCAACCCTGGAAGTTATTTTGCCCCTTGGGGGATGATGGCAAAGTCTATAGACATTTTTAGTTGTCACAACTGGGGAGAGATATTGGTATCTAATGAGTAGATGCCAGAGATACTGCTAAATATCCTACAGTGCACAGGAAAGTCCCATATAACAAAGTTATCTGGCCCAAATGTCAGTAGTGCTAAGTCACAACTTATGTGTGTGGTGCTGTGGAATTTACTTTTACTTTCTGTATTAAAAAAAAATTCAATATATTTATATACCAACTGCCAAATAGATAGTTCCCCTATTTGGAAACAGGGAATATATCCTAACGATAAATAAAGTTATACAAATTATATGATGATTTGTATTACAGATTTATTTGTATATCAGAAAAATTGACAACTACCTAAATAACCAGGAATAAGAGAATGAATTCTTATCTATCTACTGAGTGGAATATTATGCATCCTTAAAAGCGATTACCTTAAATAGTATTTGGTAGCATGGAAAATGTATCTAATTTAATGGAAAGTGAAAAAGTCAGGAAAAGGGAATACACCTCCACTTGTTCTGTGGGAGGCACCCTCTTTCTCCTTGCATGAGAGCACCAGTGGAGATTTCCCAGGGGTCCTTTACAATTTCAAGTTTTCCCTGCATCCTCCGTTAGGATAGAATAGACTAAGACATTAAGTGGAAAATGTCCTGTTTCAGGTTATTGCAGATCTCAGATTGTAATGGCTTCATCATAGAACAAGTTAGATATGTGATGTTAATAAGTTATCAAGCTCTAAGCTGAGATTTCAGGTGGTCGTCTTTCTATTTCCTAGTTCTTAGCACATAAAGTTCTAAATGCCGGGCCTAGCTCACTGAATAATCCTAATATATTAGGCAAGGGTGTCATTCAAGTCTTCAGGGGGAGTGGGTAAAATTTCTCTAGGAATTTTTTTTCAATGGGTATTGTTTAAAAAAAATTGACAAATTGAGAGATCCAATTGACTTTATTAAATGATTCATGAATTGGGCAGCATCTCCTCCAGATATTAAAAGCAAATGTTGGTTACATAATAAGGATAGTTACAGACAGAAAGAGGTTATTATCAGAAGGAAGGATTATTTCAGGCAAATTCACCTTCCCTCAGAGGAAGGCAGGGAGGTTATAGGCGCAGATGACCTCCCTGGTGGTGGTTAGGAAACTCCAGATTGATTAGTTCAGGATGACACTTTTGGAAAAATTGAAACTGCAATAGGTATTAAGTCTGGGTGGGGGCCCAACATGAAGGACTCCCTCGAAGGCCTTTTTCCCCTGTTTTCAACAACATGCATCCTTCACTTGGAAGGGTAGAAGTTAGGAAGTGGTAACAAGGTTAGGGAGGTCAACTAGGTTAGGGATTGTACACAACAAATATTACTTCTTCCATACCTATGTATACATAATAGTTTGACACTTCCATTTCTAAATATCCCAATGGCCCAGACTTCCCCCTGCTAAGCACATGATCTGGGAGTTACTAAAAATTTAAGTCTGTAGCTAGTGTCTGAATATGACTCCTCTGGCCTTGGAAGGCAAAGCCTTGTCCTGGCGATCCCCATATGCTAGAAGTTGCCTTGTTTCCTACACAGGAAATGGTTCTTGTGGAAATGAAATTATACTTCCACCTGTGAACAGTATTGGACATTATTAGAAAGCAGCAGGACCAGGAGAACCATAGTGGAAAAGTGAGAAAAAAAATCAACTTTAAATAATTGTTAGGAGACCATTTCTGTTTCCTGGTTTCTGTTAGTCAAATATTCAATGTCTCCTATGCCCAAAACCTTGAACTTACTTAAAACCCAGTGTAGCTAACTCAAACCATGCTTGTTTTTGGACTATGGGATTTTTCATTTTGCTTTCATCCCTTTGGTGAATTACAATATCACATATCTTTGCTCAATATTAGTCACTGTCCTAAAATGTTTCCTTTTGATTTTGTAAAACAAAATCTGTTCCAACCTATCTTTAATTGTTGCTTTTCTTTTGTTAGGATATTTTCTCAGTGAACTGGGTACTCTTTATCCCAGTTAAGTAAATGAAGCTATTCTAATTTTCAGTTAAGTTCAGGTTTTCACAGCACTTCCAGCTCACTTCCAAGGTTCACATTTTAGACTTTAAGACAAAGACTTTATGGCAGAATATAATGTTAATTCAGACTTTGAATGATCTTGCTTCCAAATATGGCTTCACTACTTACAGAGGCTGGCCTCTCCGGGCCACTGTTTGTTCATCTAAACTAATGAAAACAACCATGTCTCATAAATTGGTGTGAAATAATATAGAAAATGTTTCTCACTGCAATTGATACATAGTAATCATTAAATCTGACCTCTATCTTTCTTTTTTGAGTTACACTAAGATACCTTTTTGCCAACAATGTATAAAAGAGGTCATTCATTCTGAACTCTATTATTATCATTATGATTTTTATTATTATTCTTGAGAGTGATGACATTTTTACCTTCAACTCTTTTAGTCACTGGCAAAATTAAACCTCCATTTGTTGGAGCCCAGATTCTTTTTCAATTTTCTTTTTGAAACCATGCTTAAAATCACCCATGCCTTTTCCCAAATTCTTCCCAAAGGCACACATCTTTTCTGGCAAAAAGATAAGGAAATTTTTACACACTAACAACCATTAACCATTGTTACTTTGAAAGTTTCTGCTACTTTTCAAAAAGCCCATCTTTTCTTCCTTTAAAAACTCTTTTAGAATGGAAATACTTAAACAAAGTAAATAAAGTAATGATTCCCTCCTATACCCATCAGCAGCTTCAATATTTATCACCATTTTCTCTATCATGTTTTATCTCCCACTCTTTCCTACACCCACACATTTTCCCTAGAGTATTTTGGGGAAAAAATCCCAAACATCATTTTATTGCACCATTAAATACTTTAGACTGAGAGCATTTTGATGCTAACCCTCCAAAAATGTTTATTTTCCTAATTAAGACACAGAAACATCAATTCCAAAGAGCACCTGCACTCCTATGTTTATAGCAGCACTGTTTACAATAGCTAAGCTTTGGAAACAACCCAAATGCCCAAAAATAGATGACTGGATCAAGAAGATGTGGTACATATATACCATGGAATATTACTCAGCATTCAAAAAAGATAAACACATGCAATTTGCAGCAACATGGATGGCACTGGAAGGGATCATGCTCAGCGAAATAAGCCAAAAAGAAAAAGATAAATACCGGATGGTCTCACTCATAACAGGAATCTAGAAAACTTAAATAAGGGACCAGGAAAATGAATATAAGAAAGTGAAAATCAAAATCAACAAAAAACTATGAACCAGAGACACTTTTTGGGGGGTGGGGGGCGGGAGGGGAAGGATTGGGGTCAGAATGGGGCGTTTGCAATTGTATGGGGGAATATAAAAATAAAATTTAATATTTAAAAAAAAAAAAAAAAAAAAGACTATTATATAATCCTGGTAATATGCAATATAGCTAAAATTTTACTATTCTAAGATGGTATCAATACATTCTTTGGCATAGGGTGAATGTAGAGTGCAGAGAATAGCTCAATTTTCTTTCCTGAAATACACAATGAGGGAAATTCCAAAAGCAGGCCAGGACCCAAGTCACCAGGACCCCAGTCACAAACTGGGACAGCATCAGGTACCAGTGGCACTGTAAGCATTTTGCATGGACACTTTGTAGTCTCGCTTACAGAAATGTCTTACTAGAAACAGATGTATCTAATTTTAAGAAAGTTGTCATTAGTCACCACAATCATGAAGTCTGGCAAGCAGGAAGTCTAATGATATTTAGAGTTGAGCAGTTCCACATACAAAGACAGTAGTGCTGGGCTAGGTGAAATATTTCTATATACATGGATTAAGGGAGGGACACCCAGACCCTTCATGGAACAAGAAAATCAAGCAGGTATGTGACTGCTCTTCAGTCACACTCTCCTTTACCTAAAGAAAAGGTGTGAGCCCTG